ACTGAGGCGACTTTTCAATAGCTGCCTCAGCGTCGGTGTTTTTCCCTCAAGCTGGAAGGAGGCTAGACTGGTGCTCTTAAAGAAGGATGGTAGGACCGCTGACGCTCCTTCTGCGTTCCGACCCATTTGTTTGCTGGATGAGGCGGGCAAACTATTTGAACGAATAATTGCCGACCGCCTCAAAAGGCACCTACGTCAGGTAGGCCCCGACCTATCCGACAGCCAATATGGTTTCAGGCAGGCGCGGTCAACTGTGGACGCAATCCTTCGCGTGCGTGACCAATCACAGAGCGCAATTACCCAGGGAGGTGTGGCCTTAGCGATCAGTTTAGATATTGTTAATGCCTTCAATACACTACCCTGGGGTACAATCAGGGAAGCACTGGCCTACCATAAGGTACCACCCTATCTTCAGCGCATTATCGGGGCGTACTTGCACGGTAGGTGCATCCAGTATGTGGGTCGGGACTCGTTAGTCCATAGGAGGGAGGTGAACTGCGGGGTTCCACAAGGCTCCGTTTTGGGACCATTGCTTTGGAACCTCGCTTACGACGCAGTCCTGCGTATTGTTCTCCCCGCCGGTGTAAGCGTTGTCTGCTATGCAGATGACACCTTGGTAATTGCCGAAGGGGAGAGCTTCGAGAGCACCAGTCGGCTCGCCGAGCTTGGGGTGGCATGCGTCGTGGATAAAATTCACAAGCTGGGACTTCGGATAGCACCTCATAAGACCGAGGCGCTGTGGTTCCATAAACTTCGAAGAGGAAAGGATCCACCCAGTTGGTCGGTTCGCGTGGGTGACGTGCAGATCCAGGTGAGACCGGTGATGAAATATCTTGGTCTCACTCTGGATAGTCGCTGGGGCTTCGAAGAGCACTTCAATCGCTTGGCCCCCCGTATCGAGAAGGTAGTAGGTGCTATGCACAAATTACTGCCTAATCTCGGGGGGCCCCAGGGAGGGAGTTCGCCGCCTCTATGCGGGAGTCTTGCGATCGATGGCCCTCTACGGGGCGCCCGTATGGTCTCACCGACTAACGGGTGTCCGACGCTGCAGGTCTAAATTTTATAGCCTGCAGCGAAGAATAGCCATCAGGATCGCACGAGGGTATCGAACGATATCCTTTGAGGCGGCCACTATCCTTGCTCGGTTTCCACCACTGGACATCCTGGCGGAGATGGATGCGCGAGTTTATACTCGCCTCCGGTTACCTCAGGATGATGCCGAGCCCCTGGATGCGGGAGAGGTGCGGGAGCAGGAGCGTACACGCGGGTTGGAGATTTGGCGCGAGCGCTTGGGAGAAGCTCGGAACTTGCGCCAACGAATCGTCACTGCGTTCCTGCCCAGCTTCGAAGCCTGGCTAAGTGCGAGGGGATTCGCGCACGTCACCTTCCGGTTGACGCAGGTGCTCACCGGGCACGGATGCTTTGGTGAGTACCTAAATAGAATTGGACGCGAACCGACAACGCAATGCCACCATTGTGGTGGGGACCGGGACTCCGCGCAACACACTCTTGCAGAGTGCCCCGCTTGGGAGTCAGAACGTCGGATCCTGGTCCAAAAGATCGGGCAGGACCTTTCTCCACCAGTTGCAGTGGCGGCTGCACTGATGGAGAAATCTGCTTGGACGGCACTGGTCTCCTTCTGCGAAGCAGTCATGCTCCAGAAGGAGATCGCTGAGCGGGAACGGGAGAGGGCCGACCCCGCTCGGAGACGAAGGCGCGCGGGTGGTAGAAACGGACGAGCCGCTCCGTCAGCCCTGTAGTCTCGGGCTTATAGAATAGGACTAAGGTATCCCCTGCCTGTCGTAAAAGGCGACTAAAAGGGGACACGGATGGGCAGCAGCACGAAGTGGTCTCGTGTTGCTGTAAGAGGATGAGGGGATTGGAGAAGGTTTATCCTTCTCCGAGGCGTGCTCAGGCGTAGTACCGAGGGACACCGGTGCGTTCCATGGGAGATCCCGGAGTCCCTCCAAATGTACAGAAGGTGGCCACCGAGGGGGGTTTTAGTGGGTAAGAACCCCACATAACCCTGTCATGTAAAGTGACAGGGTATCTTTTGAAGATTTCCCCCCCGATACCAAAAAAAAAAAAAAAAAAAAAAAAAAAAAAGGCCTAACTAACGGCGGTAGAGATTCGCGAGGGTCTGCTTTCAGACTGCGGGCCAACCGCCAGTAGGCGGTGTGCGATGGCTCGATGTCCTCTAGGAGATGGTCCCACGTTGTATGTCTGTGTTCCGATACACGATCTTTGACTTCTAGCTGAAGGCGTCGAAGTAGGGTTCGGTTCGATTCCGATCGGTATCGGTCGAGAGTGGATTTTTACAGATGCTGTTATGTATGGCGCAGTTACATCGGTGCAGCTAAGCGCTAGATCCGATTTTCAAAATACTCAAAAATTTGAATATAATCAAAAAATTTGTTTTTCGCTCCATAAAACGACATAATGAAAATTCAAGTTTAGGAGACAAAAAAAAAAGTGGTCGCCCTTCCACTGTTAGAACCCCAGTAGTTAAAAAAACTGTGGAGGCTGTTGGCCTTTCAGATGGGGCTAAGCAGAACCATGGTGAAAAGGGTGATGAATGAAGACTAGGCCTTTGAGCCGTTTGGATGCACGTTTAATGAACTGAGACTTAAAAGATCCTTGTTAAGAGCTTTTTTGAAGCAGTACATGGGGTAACAAAACACAGTGAAATTATTTTTTCGGATGAAAAATTTTACCATGGAGGAGACTAACAATAAACAAAATGATTAGATGTATGCCCACAACAGTGAAGAAGCAAGCGACCTCATTCCGCGTGTCCATTTTCCATAGTCACACTTGTTTTGGCCGACGGTGTCATACTCGGGCATAACTGAGATATATTTTTTGTGAGAAAGTCGTTAATACGGATGCAGTTGTGTATCAAACTACACTCCCGACAAACCTTGTTTAGCCTGCTTAACAGACACTGGGTGTTCCAAGATCCTGCACAAGCTCATAGATCGAAAAACGCAAAATTGGCTGGTGGCCCGCGAAATTGAATTCATCTGCCACGAAGGCTTGCCCTCCACCTGGCCAGATTCAAATCCGATGGATTATAAATCACTAAATCACACTTAAAGGAAAAGTCCTACCTGCTCAAAGCCTCATCTTGATTTGGAGTCACTCCAGTCGAAATTGAATTCATCTGCCACGAAGGCTTGCCCTCCACCTGGCCAGATTCAAATCCGATGGATTATAAATCACTAAATCACACTTAAAGGAAAAGTCCTACCTGCTCAAAGCCTCATCTTGATTTGGAGTCACTCCAGTCGAAATTGAATTCATCTGCCACGAAGGCTTGCCCTCCACCTGGCCAGATTCAAATCCGATGGATTTTAAATCACTAAATCACACTTAAAGGAAAAGTCCTACCTGCTCAAAGCCTCATCTTGATTTGGAGTCACTCCAGGCGAAATTGAATTCATCTGCCACGAAGGCTTGCCCTCCACCTGGCCAGATTCAAATCCGATGGATTTTAAATCACTAAATCACACTTAAAGGAAAAGTCCTACCTGCTCAAAGCCTCATCTTGATTTGGAGTCACTCCAGGCGAAATTGAATTCATCTGCCACGAAGGCTTGCCCTCCACCTGGCCAGATTCAAATCCGATGGATTATAAATCACTAAATCACACTTAAAGGAAAAGTCCTACCTGCTCAAAGCCTCATCTTGATTTGGAGTCACTCCAGGCGAAATTGAATTCATCTGCCACGAAGGCTTGCCCTCCACCTGGCCAGATTCAAATCCGATGGATTATAAATCACTAAATCACACTTAAAGGAAAAGTCCTACCTGCTCAAAGCCTCATCTTGATTTGGAGTCACTCCAGGCGAAATTGAATTCATCTGCCACGAAGGCTTGCCCTCCACCTGGCCAGATTCAAATCCGATGGATTATAAATCACTAAATCACACTTAAAGGAAAAGTCCTACCTGCTCAAAGCCTCATCTTGATTTGGAGTCACTCCAGGCGAAATTTGGGCTTCACACTTAAAGGAAAAGTCCACCTGCTCAAGTCAATCCAGGCGAAATTGAATTCATCTGCCACGAAGGCTTGCCCTCCACCTGGCCAGATTCAAATCCGATGGATTATAAATCACTAAATCACACTTAAAGGAAAAGTCCTACCTGCTCAAAGCCTCATCTTGATTTGGAGTCACTCCAGGCGAAATTGAATTCATCTGCCACGAAGGCTTGCCCTCCACCTGGCCAGATTCAAATCCGATGGATTATAAATCACTAAATCACACTTAAAGGAAAAGTCCTACCTGCTCAAAGCCTCATCTTGATTTGGAGTCACTCCAGGCGAAATTGAATTCATCTGCCACGAAGGCTTGCCCTCCACCTGGCCAGATTCAAATCCGATGGATTATAAATCACTAAATCACACTTAAAGGAAAAGTCCTACCTGCTCAAAGCCTCATCTTGATTTGGAGTCACTCCAGGCATCCTTGATTAAAGCAGCCCCGATTTTGGGAGGGTCTCGTTCATGCTGCTTGACCTCTTTCCGCGCATGTCATTTTGCATAAGCTTATTCAGCATAAGAATCTATGTTTTAGTAAGTTCCTTTTGGTATATAAATGGTTACTGTAAATACCAAGATGTGTCAATTATCTGACGATAAATATGTGACCAGAGAAAATATGACCCGACTAGGTACGTCTACTTAACCTTGGCCTTCTGAAAGGTTGTGGTACTTCCCTCTGCCTATTTGTGCAACTGACCCTGTTGCGTGGCCCTGCCACAGTAAAATATATAGCAGTTTTATTGGGATGCCACTCGCGCTACTTCAGTTTTATATTTTTCTTATTTTTTTTTTAGATCAAAGGCCTTACTATGGAATAATGTTATCCTGTGTTGTAAGGACATTTCACATAAATAAATTTCACATGGACAAACACCCAGAACAGAAACAATTATCTGTAGGTCACACAAATAGTTAACATTAAAATGCCTTTGTGAATTTTCCGTTTTGCATTTCAGAGAGCGTGTATCCACTCTGGCAGAGAGCGAAGAGCTGATCAGGCTACGGGCACAATTGGCTCCTACACGCACACCATCATCGACAGTACCGCCGCCTAAGAATAAGTTACAGGGGGTAAGTTAAACAAACTATTATTGAAATCATTTTAATATTATATAATGTGAAAATGCTATTATGTACAAATACGGGTAGCTATTGCACAGTTTTACAGATTATGTGTAAATTAAAGAGTGGAAAACAAGTAAAGATTAATCTTTTATCTATCATATTCCTATAGCTATAGAATATTTTAAATGTAGGTACTGCATATGGATTTTTTTTATGTTTAGTTGCACTGCGTAATGCTACAAATAAATTTCCATTGCCCATGCAAATGTTTTGTTGGTTTGGTCTTCAGGTCTTCGGTCTGTATATTTGTTCCATGACTGGGTTTATTTTGTGCTTGTAATATTATGTTATACATACATGCGCATGTTTTTTTTCTGTTGATGTTGACCCAACCACAACTTAATTAAAACTCAAACTTAAAGAAATGTTACTTAAAGTTGAAAAATAAATGGTCTCCATCCGCAGGTTGTGGTGAGAAAAAGGAAAGCAAGTGAGATGGAACCTGACAAATCAGAGCCAGAGAAAACTGTTGCACCTCCAAAAAATGGACTTCCCAACAGGTTTGTAAGATATTCAAAAATACAAGTAAAGTAGAAATATAAAATCTCACCGATTGAAAGACATCCTTATATGTTTTAGGGTATGGTTGCAAAAAAAAATACACATTAATTGGTGCCCTAACACCAATTAAGAAAATTAGTACATATTTTCTACAACATGTAGTCCATAAGCGATGATTTATTCATCTGAATATATTCATTTGAATATTAAAAAAAAATGTCATTTATATTTGTAAAAATTTAAAAAAAAACACTAAACTGAGAACATATTCCAACAGAGATCATTGATAAGCTGTATTTTTATACCGAACCTAAAAATGAGTGTTACAATATAAGTTTGACATTTCTGTCCGTGGCATCGAAGCTTCTAAACGAATATGGTGTCGTTTTTATTTGTTCAAAATCTGACGTGATCGAGATGGTTCTTAGTAATAATTTGAGGTTATATTGGGGGTGTTACTTATAATTGATAATTTTGTGTTACATGTAGCGACGTGAATGGTGGTTCTGGTGCAACGGTCGCCGCAGTCGAGGATGTCGGCGCTCTACGCTGTGTCGGCATCCTACCCGGTCTCGGACACTACGACACCGACACTTCCAGCGACACCGACGAGTCTAGCGATTTGGAGGCGGTGAGATAGATTTTTAATTGTTCCACACGGGCTAGTGTCGGTAAGCATTAAGCACTTTCAAGAAGAGCGTCGATTTCCACCTCGAAAGATTACCAGTTACCGACACATGAATGTGCCACTTGCCACCTCTTCCGTTCCTACCTTTTTTAATGTAAGAAAATATTCACCTCATGTTAAGTGATAACCGCCGCCCATGTACATTTGCAACACCCGTAGCGTTGCAGACGCGTTTCCATCTTTTAACAAAGTGTGTCTCGGTTACCTCACTCATCAGACGAAACGCAGAAGAATAACACTTTCACTTAACGCCGGTTTTCTGTGAGATCGTGGTACTTCCCCGGACGGACTTGCCCATTTGTGCAACAGCGAATGCTGTCACGTGACCCTACCATTAATTCTATTAAGTAGTATAATTCCTCCATAAAAAAGAACGAATTTACTTAAGTACTACCTGATTGGTAAGTTGTGTTAGTCTTTGTATTACCATCGCTCAATATTGCAACCGATAGTGCACCAAGGCTCAATATTGGCCACTCATGCCTCAAAGACAATTTTGTGTAAGTCGATGAAATTATCTTTATCTTCTCCTAACCTAGGCCCTTTCTAACTGAAACTTCACACGGAACGTGCTAATTTTATCCTGTTTTGCATTACGGGTCCGTAGCTGCTGGTAGCACCCTCTATTGAAATGGGGTCTTTTTTTAATTTCAATAGTCTCGGCGAATCATCCTTGGGATAATTAGGATTATAGTTTCTAAATATATACGTAAACATAATGCCATTTAGTAATTGTGTAATCCCAAATAAAAGAAATTATCACGACACTTCTGTGGTTTCGCCGATAATTGAGATTTGATATTCTCGTTGCAGAACGACAAATGCTGCGTCAAAAGGGACCTGCTTGGTAGGAGGCCGGAGCAAACGCACGAAGGGAAACAAAAGGAGGAATCGAAGAGCTAGACCTCGCGCCGAACGATTTTGAACCGTACCCACATAGCAATAGAGCTTAAACACAAGGATCACGAACTCTAAGCGGCATTACACGCCTTAAACTCAAGTATTAAGGTTTATATTCGATTGGGTGAACTCTGGACTAGGTACAGATTCCGTCAGTGACGTCACAGCCCTTTAGTGTCAATCGCGATTGGAAAGTTGTCAGGTACCCACAAGTTTTCGTCGTTAAATATTTTTAGTAGTTTTCATTGTATTGATAAATAGTGTATTGAGGGAGTAAGTTAGGCGCTTTAAGTGTTTTTATAAATGCTTATGATTATAAATATGGTATCTTCAAATATTTTCTGTTTGGCAACTCGCATAAGTAAATTTATTTGCGTTAGAAGATAGGCTCAGGATCAAAGCCTGGACCCAAAATGGACACCGACCGATTGGTATTTAAAGGATCTAATCAAGAAAAATCATGATTTTGACTTTGTCAGTAAACGACCTAAAACGACTACCTCTGTCCACTCTTGCTAAAAAAGGGCCGATTTTGGCGTACAAAGCTACATAACGTATACTTCGGTCTCTTTCACTACCCTACATTCGTCGCGCTTGTTCAAAGTGCACAAATCTTTATTTTACGTTTCCCCGAAATTTATACTTTTTAAATAGGTCACTATAATTCTGAAAGTGCGGTATATTACTGACAACAGTATTACTTGTCGAGCCTTAGACCTACATACCCGATCGTTTATGCTTCTTACTTACGTATTTTTGTATCGTCGTTGGTAGGATAGTTACCCCACAAGAGATTTATCTGAAACTGCATCAGCTAGATCGGTATATGTCAAGCTTCAAATACTAATAAATGCCAAGTGAGAGTTGGACTCGCACGAAGGGCTTCGTACTATTATCGTACATATAAAAACGACAAAAAATCATGTCTGTTATATGGCAGACCAAATTAAAATTTTTCTATTCTGTTTTTTTAGTATTTTGATGAAATACATCTATGATGGGCAGACAGACAGACAGCGGGGTCGTAGTAATACGGTCCCGTTTTGCCCTTTGGGTACGGAACCCTAAAAGCGTGCTAAGACTGTTACAGGCTAATCGCCTAGCATGATTTCTTCCCTGAAGCAGAGGTCATCTGCTAGTACACCACTTGTAAACACGTTGATAATCTTATGGTGCAACGTGCACTGCATTGTCCGGGCGGTCGCTTTTAATTCAATATAATCGAGCAACCTGAGTTGCAATCCCTGGTGCTGGCACCATGAAATTGTTAATTTTAAACGCTGAATTATCACGTGCTCAGCGGTGAAGGAAAACATCGTGAGGTAACCAACCTGCATATTTTCTAAATAATAACAAACAAAATATGTGAATTCCGCCAATCCGCAGTGGGGCCGCGTGGTTGACTATGACTTAATACCCACTGTATAGAGGCCTTTGCCCAGCAGTGGGATGTGTATAGGTTGTTTTTACCGATCTGTTAGCTTAGGTCACTTTCGATGACTCCTTGGCGCTGTTGTCAAGGTATTGGCTTCGGCGTCGTGGGTTCTATTCCCACACGGGACAAGTATTCGTGTGACCCACGGATAATAATAATTGTTTTTGTTTGTCCACGTGAAACTTATGTTATAACCTACTGGGAAATGTTAAAGAAATACAAAATACCTGGTAACATTGTGACAGATCTTAAGTTATGAATATGACCAGTCCATCTTACGCGATTAGGATTTATAAGGTCGCTCACACTCTCCCTTTTGGGTTGGACAGTGAAGTATTGTGACCTTTTATTTATAAGTCGTTTAAATGCTTATTTAAATACCCTGTTGCGTTCAGTATCGAAAATTATATCCTACTTAAAAATTGACATTACGTTTAAGGTTTTAAAGATTTTAATGCTAAGGAATTGTGAAATTATGATGACGGCTAAATATCTGTATAGCGTGATTTTATCTTCTCATTTTATAAGAGTTTTAACGGTTTCAAAGTGTCGTTGTATATTGTGATTTTATTTAAGCCCTTAATTATATTTGCTACGACAGCTGTATTCGTTTCATTTTTTATCCGGCGAACGCGAAATGGGAGTATTCCAAAGAAATTTACGTGTTTCAGTTGGTCGCCGTAAGTTTCTATAAGAATATTTTTTTTTATAACTATTATGGTGATTTTGATGCATAATTTGTAGCGGTCCCTATGCTATTTTGAATAGGCCCGTAGTTTGAATCCTGAGACTTCGGAGCTATTTTAATATTTGTGATTAAGAAAGGAACAAAGGAAACGTTCACAATCAATTTCTAAATTCAAAAAAAAAAAAAAATGTAAAGGAACGTTTGTGTGTTAAAGGTTATTATAATATTAGTGATTATTTAAACGATAACACACACTGGAAATGAATTGATCGCTCCAGGCTCTTTCGTGTGGACTTCAATACATTTGTAAACGTTTTTTTTGTTAAATGTATGTTTAAAAAATGTTCCGCCGAGTTCTTTCGCCGGTTCTTCTCAGGTCAACGGCTTCTCTTGTCTCTTTTTACAGTCAATATGTGTAATGCTTCTATGCTGAATGAAGATTTTTGAATTTGAATTTGTCTGCCGCCCAATACGGGGCTCTTGAGGGTTTCTGTGCAAATTGCACCGGCGCAGCATCATTCGGCCGCGGACCAGGTCAACCAGCAGCCGAGGAACTGGCCCAAGGCTGCGGTAGGGCCACGCAACAGTTTTCACCGTTGCACTGGTGCTCGAATGGGCAGGTCCGTCCGGGTTAGTACCACGACCTCACAAAAGACCGGCGTGAACTAGAAGTGTTAAACTTCTGCGTTTCGTCTGCTGAGTGAGGTAGCCGGGGCCCACTTTATTGAAAGGTGGCAACGCGTCTGCAACCCTACGGGTGTTGCAGTCCATGGGTGGCGGGTATCACTGAACATCAACAGTGGGAAAAATCCTTTATTGATCCTCCCCCACCAGATCGAGGGAGTGGAAGGGATATAGGAGATAAGGTCAGAAACGGGTGGGTATTTAGTGCCTACTACGGGTGTGGGTACTAAAAACCCACAATAAGGCTATGGTCGCGGAAGATTGCGTCTTCAAGTTCCATATCCTGCCGAAGCTAGATACAGATGCAACGTGGGTTTTAGTGGGTACCCGTTTCTGACTTGGACTCCGACATTTTTGATATTGCTACCCCTCCGATATTTGGCAAGGGTGCATCCCTTGGATGGAGGATTTTTTTACGAAAAGGATCCACAGGTGAAATAAGCCTGGAATTCACTGGAGTATGCCAGTATGTTTATTAAGTATCTTGTACCATTGACTTTTCTTTCTCATTTAGAACGTGGCATACGTGATAATGCTCACTTTCCGCCGGCCATTTTGTATTGGGTACTAGAAATCTATGAGGCATAAGTCTAAAACGAATAATGATTTTAGTTCAATGTCAAATAATGCATGTTGTCGTCGACGACGACGCTAACCGGCATTTCCTGTTGGATCTTTTGAACATTTCCGCCGAGTGGGAGTTTCGGATTCTGTGTCCCTCTTCTCCCCTTCGCAATTGGGTCATCTGTCTCTCTCTTCGGCTGACTTTCGTCTGATTCCTCTTCTGTAGTCTCTTCCCCTTCCGTTCCTCTCGCCTTCTTCGATCGGCTCCTGTGAATATTGTATTTCTTCGTACAATTAACCAATTACAAGTAGAATCTCGTATTATTTTAATAAAATTAGTTAATTGTGAGACGTGTTACAATCACAAAAAACATGTCGAACATGAACACAAATACATAATATTCATTTTATCTATTATGAATTTTTCTCTATAATCCCGTAATCCGTAAGTGAGATTCTTCTGTAATAATTCAATACCTCATTAGTGCTTAACGTTACTTCAATAGTATAATATTTTTTTCCGGTTTTATCGGTGGTAGGGCCACGCAGCAGCCTCGGCTGTTGTACGAATGGGCAGGCCCGTCCGGGTAAGTACCACGACCTCACAGAAGACCGGCGTAAAGTGGAAGTATGACAAATACTTTCGCGTTTCGTCTGGTGAGTGAGGTAGCCGGAGCCCAATTTTCAAAAGGTTGTCAACGCATCTGTAAGCCTCGGGTGTAGCAGATGTTCATGGGCGGCGGTATTCACTTAACAGCAGGTGACCCGTCTGCTCGTTTGGCAACTTTTGGCATAAAAAAAAAAAAAAAAAAGCCGTGACAGCTCAGTGTCCGCTCACTTTAAATTCTTCATACTCGAGCACCTGAGTTCGAATGCCGACGCCAGCACCGATGATATTGCTAATTTTAAGTGCTGACCTATCGCGTGCTGAGTGGTGATGGAAAATATAATATGACCTGCATATTTTCGAAATAACGAAAAAGAATATTTCGTAGATATGCCAAGTCTGCCAATCCACAGTGGGGTCGCGGTGGACTACGCCTTCATACCCTCTGTACAGTTAAGGCCTTTGCCCAGCAGTGGGTCACGTATAAGCTGATACTTTATTATACCTTTTAACTCTTACGGACCATTTGAAGCTATACAGAATTATTGAATGTCTGTTCACCGTTTCGGATAGGGCTGTTTCAGATGGAAGGTGCGGTAGTGGAGTTTCATGCTGTTGCTCTGTGTGAAACGTTTGTCGCAGAGAGTGCACGCGAAGGGCTTTTCGCCCGTGTGGGTCTGTGGGAATATGGAAAATAGACGAGACATTAATTCCGTCAACTCCGTCTACACATTTGAACATAGTTATGTCTACATAAAGCGAAACTTTCGATATAAAAATAAAAATATATTAGCAAGAAAAGGGTTGAAAAGACAAAAGAGAAAAAAAAAATGTTAAAACATAAAAATTCCAAAGTTTTGCCAATGTTTATAGGTGGCGGCTATCACTTAATATCAAGTGAACTGACAGTCATAAAAAACTCGAATTAAAAAAAAATGAGCCGTCACGGGACGCCTGGCAGATGTGAAACATCGACATTATTTTGTAAAAGTAATATGCAGAAAAGAACAGATTGTGATCCTATCACTAAATATGTCACAATGATAAAATAAAATATTACGACTTTTTTTCCAGATAACGATGACTATTTATTGAATAAACATTTATTTTCATCAAATGCAAAAATTTACGAATTTATTTCAAATCGTGACTACTTAATTCGTTTAATCAGTGACTTCGGTAAGTAATTAAAGTTAATTTAATTAATTAATAATTATTAACAATTAATTTAAATTTGAGTAATTAATCGTAAACACCACTGCATATAGACTGTATATATATACCATCATATAGCGTGGCGACGCGTCGCCACGGCATGCGTCGCCACGCCAGAAATCGGTTTTACGTGCGGCTATAGATTTTTCACATCAAAATGGAATTGTAGATGCAATTTTAAACTCTTTCTTGTTTCTTGTCTTTGCCGAGTAGTGGGACATATAGTATTGTCTGTTACTGTATTACATTCCTTCCACACTACACTCACCAATAGATGGCGCTTGAGACCGACAGTAGCGTAGAACTGCCTACCGCATATCTCGCAAGGGTGAACCTTTGTGCGGGTGTGCATATTCTGATGGGTGGCCACGCTGCCCGGCTAAATATAAAAGTGACATTCCAGGTATAAAATAATCGAGGAATGCCATTTCTAAACGAGTTAAGATGTAAAGCACATACTAAATACTGAAGAGCAATACTACAACTGCAGAGTTATTATCTTTCATTAGGTGGGCTCAGCGTATCGTATGAATCATGATGGAAATGGTTTTGATAGCCTTCCGAATGAATCGAGAGATGAACCGGTTGGTCTCACAGATAATTGACTCGTATGGGAATCAAACCCACGACCAAAGATCCGCGATCCCACACGGGACAACTATTTGAGTAACCCACAGATCGTTGTATTGCATCTGGGCGTTTGTCTACGTGATATTTATGTATGTAAAAAGTTCTTACACCACAGAGTAATGTAATCGTACAGGTAGAGGACTACGTTGTCGAAGTTAAGATTAAATAGCAAAAGATCTTCCGAACCCGATACAAAATACATTTAATTGTGATAGGACCACGTTACAGTCTTCGCCTGTTGCACGAATGGGCGGGTCCGGCCGGGTAAGCACCACAACCTTGCGGAAGACCGGCGTGAAGTGGAAGTGTTATAATTCTGCGTTTCATCTGGTGAATGAGGTAATCGGGGCCCACTTTATTAGAAGGTGGCAACGCACATGCAGCCCCTAGTTGTTGCAAATGTCAATGGACGGCGGTTATCACTTAATACCAGGTGAACCGCCTGCTAGTGTGCCAATTTTAAATCCAATAGTTAGTCAGGCGCGTGAGAAGTGGGAAGGGGAAGTTTCCCAGCGCTGGGAAAAACTCACCGCTAGCGAGGCGCCGCAGACCTCGCATATGTGGCGCTCGGTGGGCGGGAAGAACGAGGTTCTTGGGTGCTCCGTGTGGTGGTGCTTCATGCAGGCGCTCTGGGTGGCGAAGTGCTTGCCGCACTGCGCATTCGTCATTGGTCACGCTGACGGAATGTCCGAACGCACATTCGCCATTGGTCACCGTGACGGAATGTCCGCACGCACATTCGTCGTTGGTCACCGTGACGGAATGTCCGCACGCACATTCGTCGTTGGTCACCGTGACGGAATGTCCGCACGCACATTCGTCGTTGGTCACCGTGACGGAATGTCCGCACGCACATTCGTCGTTGGTCACGCTGACGGAATGTCCGCACGCACATTCGTCGTTGGTCACGCTGACGGAATGTCCGAACGCACATTCGTCGTTGGTCACGCTGACAAAATGCCCGCACGCACATTCGTCGTTGGTCATCGTGACGAACAACGTATTCACAGTGATACAGTTTCAATGATCTTCAACGGATAATCAATATACTCGGCGGCAATATATAATGCTTCCCAGACCGTGTTTCCGAATGGAAATCATTATTACTGATGATCCTGGTCAGGATAAGGGGCCAAACAAAGGATACAGCTACAAAAATGGATGCGCCAAGCATTGCTTCAAATGCTAAAAAACAATGAAGATAAAAGAAGTTAAGATTTTGGTCGGTGTGGCAACAGCCGTTTAGCTTAGTGGCTAGAGCGTTAGTGTGCGAATCCCGAAGACGTGGGTTCGATTCTCATAGCGGCGATAAACTTTTCGTACTTTTTCTAAAAATTTTAATATTTAATCTTAAGTGCAGAGATTAGCACTATAAAAAAAATGTGCAAACATTTTAAATTGACTAGTCGTAAGCACGATTCTAGGTTCAAATCCCAGTGCATTACTACTGAGGTTTCCCTTGGGATTCCACTGTCTCACTGTCGTTGGTTCTCCAGATATTCGTAAGCATTGGCGATAAGCTCATCGCCTATTTATAGGACTTATTGTGGTTTAAGCACCGACTACTTGAGAAACCATAATCACCTGGTGGCAGGTAGTTGGCTTGCAGTACCTCCTCTTCTGCCGACACCTCCTCTTCCTCTGCGGCGATGCGACGGGCTCGTCATCAGATTTTCTAAAAACAACACATCAGGAGAAAGCAGCGTAAGTTATTAGGAGAAACACTTCACGCTGACAAGAGACTCAATTACAAACTTCTTTGGGCAAAGGCGGGGATTTAAAGTACAGATAAATTAATTTTGATTTCCTTTTTTTTTTTAAAAAAAAGTATTGCCCGTACTTTAGGATAACACTATCCTGTGTTGTAAGGACGTTTTACAAACATACGTTTCAACGCGAACAAACACCCAGATGCGAAAAAACTATCTGTGGGCCACACAAATAGTTGTCACGTGTGACGATCGAACCTACGACCCCCGACGCTGAAGCCAATACCTTGGCAACTGCTCCGTGGAGTCGTCGAATATATATAAAAATATATATGAATAGATTCATGTAAATGGCATAAAATTCATAAAATTACATCGAAAGTTCCCCAGGGATATAAACATAGTGTTTTTTTCTTTAAAACTCACCGACGTCTTAGTCCTTGAATTATCTGGAAAGGAGAAGGTAAAAAATATTACTAAGAATAAAAAAATCCTTGAATAGTGACTCAAGCGTACAAAAGTTTTTCATCAAATTTCTTTCTTCATAATGTTCTGGGTTCAAGTGTATGCCGGTTACTGTAGTAATTTATCTAAAATTTCTTTATCCAGAATATATGAAAGTTTGCTAGTGAATATATGATATGAGGTAAGTTTGATAGTAAATCACTACGTAGTATAAAACAAAGACGTCCCGCTGTCTGTCCCTATGTACGCTTAGATCTTTAAAACTACGCAACAGATCTTGATGCGGTTTTTTTAATAGATAGAGTGATTCAAGAGAAAGGTTTATACGTATAATACATTGCACCCGTGCGAAGCCGGGGCGGGTCGCTAGTAGTGAATATATGATATGAGGTAAGAATTTTGCGAGTCACTTGAGCACAAACACAAATCATCTAAAGCGGGTAGTAATACAAAGTTTTCACCTTAGCCTGCATTTTCTTCCCCAGCACTTTCCTCTGGGCATTTATGGTGCGTTCCTCACTTTCCTCTTTAGCTTGCCTCTCCTTCCTGTAATGGTAAACCTCGATTCCCATCACATTTCGTAAAAATAATGAACGAAGGTTTTCACTACTTGAATGCCGTTGATAAGCTATTGGCCTCGGCGTTGGGAATCGTGGGTTCGATTCCCACACGGGACAAGTGTTTGTGTGAGCCACAGACAATTGTTCCAGATCTGGGTGTTTGTTTCCTAATGAGTGTTGACGTCAGGCAGGCCGCCAAAACCGCTTACAACATGATTCACATGAAGTTCCGACCCCACCTAGATGGGATAAGGGCAGGATGATGGTGAGTACTTGAACCCTTAACAATATACGGATAATGTATAGAGTTAAATTAACATACGTCCCCGTGTCGTAAATGTCATGCGTTTAGTACGAATAAATTAGAAAAAAACCCTAAGGATTTAAAAATCAAAATTAAAACGCGATAAAATCCATAAATTAGTTTCATTTAACACATAATATACAGGTCGATTTTATAGACGACGGACATATTAATATGCTCTGATATGCAGAATTTGATTCTAAATCTGAGTCTGGTACGTACTTGTGACCTGATTTTTTTTTTCAAAGATTATTTTTAATTTTTTTCAAACACATAGACACCTTAAGAAATTCCTACCGTACCGTCTGAATACAATAACCTATTGACGAGCACTAAAACTTTTCGCTGAACGCATAATTACTAAACCGCTTATCAATAGGGTGACCACTCTTAGCGGGATAAACAAACAATGTTTGAGTTATTATTATTCCAGTTATTTCTTGTCAAAATAAAATATTAATATATTCAAAATAAAATATTAATATATTTTTGAATTTTTTTTTTTTTTTTATGCGAAAAGTTGTCAAACGAGCAGACGGTTCACCTGATGTTAAGTGAATACCGCCGCCCATGGACATCTGCTACACTCGAGGGTTACAGATGCGTTGACAACCTTTTGAAAATTGGGCTCCGGCTACCTCGCTCACCAGACGAAACGCGAAAGTATTTGTCATACTTCCACTTTACGCCGGTCTTCTGTGAGGTCGTGGTACTTACCCGGACGGGCCTGCCCATTGGTGCAACAGCCGAGGCTGCTGCGTGGCCCTACCACCGTAAAATTATGGAATGCTCAATTAACATTATGTCAAAGTATGTACTTCGTCTAAGAAATCAGCCTGTATAGGCTGTTATTTTACATTACTCACTCTAGCACCTCGGAGTGCATGGCAGAGTGGAAAAGGTGCTCCTCGTAGGCTTTCCTAGTTTCGAAACGTATGTCGCACCTCGAGCAGTAGCTGTTCACTTCCTCGTCGTCATCGGGGCTCTCCTGAGGAGGGACGGCCTTCATTATCTACATCTGGTACGATCCACTTTAACGGTTTACAACGCATCTCGAGTGGATCGTCCTCTAGAACGTTCCAGTCTAATGTTCGCTTGAACATCGGAATGAAACCGCCGATTATGTAAATTGAGGGCTGTTGATTCAGCGTATAATCTTCGATCACAACCCCCGTGGTCAGATTCGTCTTAAAATTCGCAAAGTATCATGGGAGCAAAATTACATAATTGAAAAAGATAAAAATTACAAAAAAAAAGTTGCGATCAGAAGTTCACATTTTAACCCTCCTCCTACTTCTATCCATTACTTTCATAAGGATTTGGTTAGAGTTGTCAGATGTTCGCAACCTACAGTAATGATTGGAATCAGGGAACTTTCGACCCACCACCCCCCAACAGTATCGTGTATAATTATTTATAATTAAAGTCACTTTTGCCACCCCCTTTCCCCATTAGCCGCGTGGAAATTTACTTTTGGCTCCCCTCCCCACTCGCCGCTAGTACCGTAACTATCGACAACCTCCCACTCTACAGGAGCCACAAGTGAAGTCAATTTTGCCACCCCCTTTCCCCAGTAGCCGCGTCGAAATTTACTATTGGCTCCCCTCCCAATAGCCGCGAGTAACGTAACTTTCGACACCCCACCACTCCACAGGAGCCACGAGTAAAGTCACTTTTGCCACCCCCCTTTCCTCAGTAGCCGCGTGGAAATTTACTCTTGGCTCCCCTCCCCACTCGCCGCGAGTAACGTAACTTTCGACTCCCCCCCACTCCACAGGAGCCACGAGTAAAGTCACTTTTGCCACCCCCCTTTCCTCAGTAGCCGCGTGGAAATTTACTCTTGGCTCCCCTCCCCACTCGCCGCGAGTAACGTAACTTTCGACTCCCCCCCGCCCCCACAGGAGCCACGAGTAGTCACTTTTGCCCCCCCCTCCCCCTCCCCCCAACTCATCACTCACGATCTCTCCCCCGTAGTGCTTCGCGTGCCTGTGCTGCCGGAGCCCCGCCTCGCTGACGAAGGAGGCGCCGCACGCGACGCACACGAAGCCGCTGCGGTGAGTGCGCAGGTGCGTGTAGTACGTAGACGAGTGTCTACGGTGCGTTACTTTTAGGTAATCAAATTTTTAGGGTTCCGTACACGAAGGGCAAGTTGAAAAGGGTAGGCCGAAGGTTGATGGTTGGAGCTACCTGCTTTAATCCATTTCATTGTTACAGGGACTTATTAGGGTTCCATACCCAAAGGGTAAAACGGCACCCTATTGCTAAGACTGCGCCGTCTGTCACCAGGCCGTATCTCTTCTTCTTCTTTGATTAATGGCAGGCCGTATCTCATGAACCGTGATAGTTTGACAGTCGAATCTTTCACAGATTATGTATTTCTGTTGCCGCTACACATACAAGAAAAAGAAATACTAAAAAACAATAGAAAAAGCTCCCATACAAAAGACATGATTCTTTTGACGTTTTTATAGATAAATGTACGGAACCATTCGTGCGCGCGTCCGACTGGCAGTTTTTAATTAATAGCGCTTGTCTCTGTGGGAGTGAGTACGGTGCGCGTTACGTTTACGAATTACTTTCTAGTGCTAGTCTTTGAGCGAGTGCTTACAGAGCGTATTAAGTGCTAGTCTGTGTGAGTGCCTACGGCGTGAGTTACGTTTAAGTACTTTTAATTTTATACTACTGCTAGTCTTTGGACGTGCCTACGACATCTTCAAAGGTGTCTTTACCGTACCCAAAGGGTAAACCGGGACGCTGTTATCAAGACTCCGCCGTCTGTCTGTCTGTCTGTCACCAGGCCGTACCTCACCGTGATGTTTTTGGAGCTTCCATGCGACATACATGATTTTTTTGCCGTCTTTATAGATAACGGTACGGAACCCTTCGTGCGCGAGTCCGACTCGCACTTGTTAATTTCTACTGCTTGTCTTTGGACGAGTGCCTACGGTGCACGTTCAATGAAATTTTTTATATGATAAGGTGACAAGCGAGTTGTCGGTTCACCTTATGTTAAGTGATAACCACCCCCCATGAACAATTCTAACATCCGTAGGGTAGCCGATGGGTAACCTTTCAATAAATTGGGCCCCGGCTACCTCACTCATCAGACGAAACTCAGAAGTGTAACACTTCCACTTCACGCCGGTCTTCTGCGAGGTTCTTCGCTGCTGCACAAAGGGAAAGGTACAACAATAAACAGTAAAAGTTGTCGAGAATATGATTTTGTACCTTGTAACATTGCTATTGTTTTAGTTGCTCTGTGACTGCATAGATAAAACTCTGTACTCTGTGTAATTAGTCAATATGGTGTAGTTGTGATTTGAAGATGACTAACTTGATTAATGTAATTAAATAGTATCTTGTGAAACCCAGTATAAAGTATTAAATTGTTTAAAATAAATAGAATAAATCATCATATCGCAATCATTCATAACTAACACGCACACAAGTTCGTGTACAGTAAAATTTAGGTATTTATGAATGAATACCGCATTGTCAACACGTTCTGTTTTTTAGGGAATAGAATGGCATTTTTTTGGAAAAAAAATCTTTGTTTTTTATTTCAATAAACGATTATACTACCGAGTCTGAACCTCCTGTGTAAATTTGGGCACTTCTCAAAAAATCTTCCTGTATATCACCAAAGCAGAACTGCATATTTATTTTGATCCTGGCAACCACATTTTCTAACAAAAGTAAATTAACACAACCGACCTGAAGTGTTTGCCGCAATGCGAGCACTCCTTCGTAACGCCGCTGTGGTACTCGTCATGTCTAATTGCCGTGTTCCTGTAAACATGACCGAATTTGGTATACCATGATAAAATAAAAACAATACGTCATTCAAATAATAACATTTTTTACCTCCCCAAATTAAAATCTATTATATTAAAGTTTGTTGCGACAAATACCAGGAGGATGTACGTTAGCTGGCCCAATGCCTGCTTTTAATTGAGTTTCGGGGTAACAAATACCATTGTGTGATGTACGAAGCTAGGCGCGAGGCCTGCTTTTAACGAGTCTCGAGGGCCCTGTCCCCATTACTCGGGCGTGTATCTCGACCAGCGAATGGCTGGTCGGTGGTGAGGATGGCCATCGGCCATGCCTTTCCCTGACCGCGGTAGCGGCACTTGCGGGTGTACGGCGTTACACGCGGTGTGTAACGCGAGGACGACATCGTCTTCGACACAGCGGCGGAAGTGCGGCCGGCTCTGGCCCCCCAATGGCCTCTTCCGACCGCAGCAGCTCTCGTGGGAGCGGGCGCCCGTCAGGAGGACGGGCGTGGAGAGCAGCGATGTTGTTAAGATGTGGGTGTGGTCCGTTGTCGGCCCTGTCGTACATGCCACGGGTCAACCGGACCACAAACTCCTTGATGGACTCGATCTTAAGGTCTCGGGCTATTACGTCGTTCTTGACGTAACGCCCGGCCCCCACGATTGCTCGAAGGGCGAGGTTCTGCTGCGCCTGGAGCCTGCGCCTCTGCGAGGCGGAAACCAGTGCATACCACGCCGGAGCGGCGTAGATCAAGCGCGAACGGATGTAGGTCTTAAAGATGCCCAGTTTCGTCTTTACAGGTAGCTTGGATGCCAGGATTGGGTAGAGGACCGCTCGAGCTGCCCTGGCTTGTCGAACTGAGTGTTACTTGGGGCGCCATATTCAGCGAGCGGTCTATCCGGCACCCAAGATACCTGATGTTGTCCTGGTTCGTTATCGCTTGACCTCGCAGCTCAAGCGTTGGTTGGTGTTTGATGTGGCGGATGTAGATGGCGGACGTCTTGTCAACATTGACAGACATCCGCCACTTATCCAACCACTCGGCCAGCAGGTCCAATTGGCGCTGCATCTTCCTCGCCGCAAACGCCGCGTTGTGTGAAGACGTGAAGAACGCACTGTTGTCGGCGTAGAGGGCCAACAGTACGTCTTCATCCCAGTCGGAGGCGTTTTGCTCCAAGGTGGGAATGTCGTCCGTGTACACCGCATACAGGTGTGGCGACAGACAACTACCTTGTGGTACACCGGCTTTGATACATCGTACCGCCGAGTCGGCTCCCTCGACGTGTACGACGAACTTCCGGTCCCGGAGAAACGACGCTACTAACCGCACGAGCGCACGGTGGGTGGTGGTGTTTTCCAGCAGCAAATACCATTTGATCACAAGTTTCACTCTGAATTTTTTGATTGACCGTAGAGAAAGCCAATTGGTACTAAGCTGCCCTTTGCAATACCCTTTTTAAGGTGTGGCAATAAAGGATAAATAAATAAAAACAATAACAAAAGTAGCAGAGGATATTACTCACTCCAGTGGACAGATCCGATTACACATGAGGCACTATTACTTGGTGTAGTGCTGGCCAATGGTATTAAGCCGCCCTTTGCAATACCCTTTTTAAGGTGTGGCAATAAAGGATAAATAAATAAAAACAATAACAAAAGTAGCAGAGGATATTACTCACTCCAGTGAACAGATCCGATTACACATGAGGCACTATTACTTGGTGTAGTGCTGGCCAATGGTATTAAGCCGCCCTTTGCAATACCCTTTTTAAGGTGTGGCAATGAATGATAAATAAATAAATAAAAACAATAACAAAAGCAGCGGAGGACATTACTCACTCCAGCGGACAGATCCGGTTGCACCTGAGGCACTGGTACTTGGTGTAATGCTGGTGCATGTGCCTTCTCAGATGGGAACGCCACCTGAAGCGCATTTTGCAGAAGCGGCACTCGAAGTAACCGAGGCCCTGCCAATGGTTACATCATTAGATCTCCACTTTTCGTGTAATTCAAGGTATACCACTGCAACATTTCCCTTCAATCTATCAGATATGTGTTGTTTTGAATAATAATAATTAATATTTTCGGACACATTTTTTTACACAACATTCAAGTCCCAAACTAAGCAACGCTTGTACTATGGGTACTAGAAAACTAATAAACATACTTTTCTTTTGTAAATGAATACATATTATACATATATAAACAGACAGACACAATATTCATCACACAATATTTTTCCAGTAGTGGGGATCGAACCCACACCCTGTGGCGCAAGAGGCAGGGTCACTACTCCCCACGCCAATTGAGTGGCCTATGGAGGCATGCTTAACCATTAGATTTTTCAGTTCATTCCAGTTCATGGAAATGTTTGATCATAAAATCAATATATTTGTAAGTACCAAATGACCTGGAATGAATTTAGAGATGTTTTCTTATCAGAATATCACACCTTTTTTAACATATATATATATATAGTACATCATCACGTCAGTAGTGTCTTTAGTGCTTACACTTCATATGAACATGTCTATACACTCAAATATACATTAAATATTTTTTTAAATGGCTGTTACATATAGCTCGCACAAATTACTGGTTCTCTGTATGAAGTAAGTATGTTGGAAATCAAGCTAGTGTTCAAAAACAACCAAAAATCTGCAATTGTGTAACTAAGAACATACAGTGTATGACAATTACACACAAAGGTATTGAGAGAAGGAAGGTAGAGCGGATAACATTCAAACCTCACTATGCTTCAATTGGATGTGACACCTCAGCATACTCTCTTTAGAGAAACCTCTGAAACAGTCCCTGCACTTATAACTGGCAGACAAATATTTCTTGTCCTCAGCCCTTAACCGAAACTCCTTCAAAGCCTCCTCCTCAGTCAGGTTGAACACTTTCCAGTTGTTACTGTCTAATAATTTTTCTCTCAGATTAGATTCATCACCACTTGTGCTCTTATATCTCTCCCTTATCGTATCATTTTTCAACCTGATGCAATTTTTTTCAATGTCTTTGAAAATCATTATTGGACTGCTTGGTACATCAATTGTATGGCTGTCAAAACTTTTTTCATAATCATGATGATCAACTGTTTCTTCTGAAATTATTCCTTTGCTCAAATGTTTATCAATTTTTGGTTCGTCTGCTGCATCATCTCTGCTATCTACAGTGACATAGAACTTTACTCGGTCAGTGACTGTCAAAACTGCTAGGTCTGATTGTAGGTATTTATTTTCTCGGTCTATTTTGTATATGGCTTCATAGCTTATCTGTAAAAGTCCATGCATAATGTTCTACCTAACATATTAAAGAAGAAGCAAAAAGAACAATGTTTTTGACACTATTTTATTAACTAGGTACATAGTTTATTTGAAAGAAAAACTTGAAATAGACTGTAAAAAATGGGACGGGACTATTCTATTTCAATTATTAATTTTTCTTTATACATTTTTACCCACCAATCTTATAAGCGCAATCTTAGGGGATTTTTTTGAATAAACCAACAAATACATAAAGTTTGCAATTTATAAATACTCACAGGGCCCAACCACAGTAGTTCTTTAAGGACCTTTTGTCCTCTGTAGCATTTCTCTTTAAATTTGTGAAATTTATTCAGTAATGTTGCACACTCAAAACAAAAGTAACGGGGTAAGCCATCATCATCATTAACCTGCAAATAACATTGTAGTCATCAAAAGTTAGGCTTTTTAAACACTCATATAAATTTTTATTATCTTTGAAATTTATGGCCTAGTATCGAGGACCTTATGAATTTATTGATTTCGTCCAGGAAAGAACTAGACAGAAACTCTGTTACATACAAGTTATGTCTCAATTATAAAACAAAATAAAGTAAGCAGAAGACCTGGCTTTTAGGTCCTTACAATTCCTTTACAATCACTACATGGTATCATAGAATTACATATAATATTAAAAATTATTCGCCTAATTATGAAACTTACAGGATAGTAATTATAACTGTAAAATGATGATGGTGAAAAAAAGTGATCAAATACTGAAGAGCTGTAGTAATCAGAGCAATTATTTCTTAACAGTAAACGTCTAATCATTAAATACAAAAAGCCTTTTTTAACTTAAGTAATTTTTCACCTTAAAAGCCAACACTTCTTCATAATAAGATTTCATTTGGAACTGGTCGTATTTATACATCTTAGCTTCTGTTCGCAGGCAAATTCGACAAATTCTTAGGTCGGACATAGTTTCAGCTTTTAGTTGCCTTAGATTCAGTGATTTATAACAAACCGAAGTCTTATTTACATTTCTTATGAACACATTTTGTATTTTGTTGTGTTGTTAGTTTAATTTAAAACCATAGCCTAATTCAAAAGTAAGATCTCCGTTTGCTGTTTGCACAAAAGATGACATAAACTAAAGATATATTATTAGACTGCTGGCTGAGTGCTGACTTTTAGACGACAGATGCTTTCAAATGAGTTGCCATGTGTCAAATAAAAAGGAAAAATCCTTTTTTATTTCATCACACGGTCCATGCATAGGTTCGAACCTCCCATTTGAGGGGTATGATGGCGGAAACATGCGCGAAATAGACGCTTCATCGCTTATGTTATTATGGGACGTATACATGCATTGTACGTATACATGCCCGTGTGAGGTGTGTTTGAAGAGATATTCGTGTTTTGCCTTTTTGGCTACAGTGCTAACGTGCTGTATGAACTTTACTTTTTTTTATGCGAAAAGTTGACAAAGGAGCAGACGGTTCACCTGATGTTAAGTGAACCGCCGTACATGGACATCGGCCACACCTGAGGGTTACAGATGCGTTGACAACCATTTGAAAATTGGGCTCCGGCTACCTCACTCACCAGACGAAACGCGAAAATATTTGTCATATTTCCACTTTACGCTGGTCTTCTGTGAGGTCGTGGTACTTACCCGGACGGGCCTGCCCATTCGTGCAACAGCTGAGCAGCCTACCACCGTAAGAACGTAAGTAACTTTTTGAAGTTATACTTCTTTTGCCGCCTGCCCACTACGCCCTGAGCCGTGGTGATGTCTGCGACGCGTGGCACTCCGTTCATCAATCCTGCCAAGGCGCCAGCAAAGTGGAGGTGTCGATTCTTCTTTTATGAAAACCAAATCATCTAGTTTAGCTCTGCAGTGTTAGTTCGCCACTTGGTTTGTAGTTGCAGCTCAGCGATGTTTTAACAGCGCTTCCAAAAATGTTGCCTGGCCTGTTCTAGGAATATGTAGCTATCTAGACGTGGAAGTTAGCATCTAAGAGACTTGGTGACGGAAACGAGGTTACAACGCAATGCACTACGACTTTAGGTGATTAGCAATTAGATTTTTAAAAAAATTAAAAAACAATTAATAAAATACGCTATAAATACAGACTTATTTTTCTTGAATATGTATGTCAGATTTCGCACAGTTTTGATTAAAAGCACAACATTGTACGTCATTGTAATTTCCCTTGCAAATCGAAAGGCGTCGAAAAGTGAAATAGGTGAATATAACGCCTTCGCATTAGAGTAAACGGCTCGGTATAACAGTTGTTTTTCAAAACATTTAACCCTTTCCAAATCGTAAGAAGATGAAGAGGAGAATACGGGTGGTATGGGCATAAAGGGCAGTGTTGTGTGAAATCTAATGTTGTATTAAGAAAAAAAACCAGCCAAGTGCGAGTCTGACTCGCGCACGAAGCGTTCCGTGACGTAAACTATAAACACGGGAAAAAATCATGTCTGTTGTATGTGAAGCTTAGAACACGTTGTTGTTTAATTTTGTAGAAGGAATTTTCTTGAAAATTTATTGGGACAATATTGTGTAATCAATAGTTGTTATTTTGACAGCTCCAAGCTAAAACTGATGTTTTTTTATTTTGCTTACTTCACAGACGACTTCCAGGACTAGCGGTTAAAATATTTGGAAAATTTTGGGCTTTTTGCCTAATCTGTGAAGATGAACAAGAATCTAGTCTCATAAAAAGGAAGAGAAGTACAATTTTGTTTTTATAGCTATCATTAGAGGACATTAACAGTTTAACGGACTCACTTATTAGATCGGGATATGTATGAAAAGTTTTTTTAAGAAAGTTATGTTTTAGTTAAGTTATGTTTTTAAGTCATCCCTGTTGTAAAAAGTCTAACATAACTCAATGAAATAGCTTTTTTATAAAGAAATTGCCAATAGATCATAAATTCAATGCAGAAGCTTTTACGGCTCAAAATAACAAATAAAACTTAATAGTGTTGTTAATATTTCTTCTACAGCGGACAATATAAAAATGAGCTTTAAAATATTTTTTTAATTATTAATATTGACAAAAGAATTAAAGGTGTTAAGGTCATGATGATGATGATGATGATATCTGGCAATAATGCACGCTACAACACTGTTTTTAATTATTAAAAATAAAACAAAAATTCGCTATACATTTGGCCCACGAATTATAATGTTCACTTAAATATTCAATTAAAATACGAATGTTTATTCCATTTAATTTGGCTTCGTTTTCTTTTCTATAAAGAGAAAAAAAAATCGCGGGAAAGTTACATATGTGTTCGGGGCCGATCATAGATAAGACATATATACTGCTGGGGTCGATATTCATTCCAGCCAGACGCTCATCATGCCAAAAATCTCTCGTCTCAAAGAATAACAACAATGAAACGACACACTGGCTATTGTTCTTTGGCTCCGCTGAAATATGAAAAGATCTCTTGGCTAATTCTTCAGTTCACGGATCATAGGTACATATTTTAAAAGATAAGTATAAAGTTATCTTTTTTTGGCTCTATTGTAACATATGTTAAGTTAGTGCGTTTTCGCAATTGTGACTCCGTTTCAATTTACATAGTCGGCAAAGAATACCGCTCATGGTCACTCACAATATCAGCACTATGCTTTTATATACTTTTCTATCAGTTGCATCCACCATGATAGAAAATATGTATATTTCAATAGAGAAAAATCGGTTATCCAAGTAGCTAGCGTGTGCGAGTGCAGGTTTGAATCCGGGTAGCCGAGAAAAATTTTTCGACAGTTTTATCTACACATTCTTAAGTTTCATTTTAACTGTAGAGACTGGCATAAAAAACCAAAAATGAAAATGATGTGTGGTACAGAAAGAGTCAGCAGTCTTTAGAAATGCAATCTTATTACACCAATTGGTGTAATTAGATTGAATTAAAAGTCATTTAACATTAAACTTCACAATCTAATCTTAAAGAGATTTGAATTTTTACTTTATTTATATGAATATTTATAATTAATTCATATACCGAATCATAATTACGAAATTACTATCTTATGTCGGACTAGAAAAAAAGAAAGATATCGAATCAGAGGTTTTACAAAATATTCAAATATTAGACCCATTTTCGTATTGCATTTTTTTGGGCATGCAAAATAAAACAATACACCCGTGTTTTGTGCAAATAAATATATAAATGTATCTGGCCAATGTACCTATTCGTAGAATTTCCATGAATTCATGATATCGGTGATTATTCACATCCACTGAAGCACCCCATTTATTAATTTGTTAAAGCTTTCAACGGTGTTCTTTTTTCCTTTCGTGCTTTGTGAGAGGCCAAGGGAGAGTTACTTCTCTCAATGTTTGAATATATCAGCAAGCAACTTATCCATTTTATTGTGCGAATAACCTTCGCAATCCTCCGTAATTTCAACCCCAAAAAATACTACTAGAATCTCTCTTTTAATAATGTTAATTACGTTTGATGGGTAATCATTTCTCGTACTCCCGCGAAAACAACACATTGCCAAAATAAATTAATTTACGGATTTTATTGCGTAATGGTTAAAATGTCAGCGATACTTATCTGATTAAGAATGAAATTTGTTGCGCTTTTGTTTTATATATGTAAAGAAAAATATTATTTTCTTTTATTTAAATATTTTCTTTAATTTAAATATTTTCGCGCACCGGCCGTTGATAAAATTTATTTTAAAAACTATGTTTGTACGCCGGATTATAACAGAAAAAGAATTAAGCTGTCATATGAAGCAATTCATGAAAATAATCTGATTACAAAGATATTTAATAAGTAAAATAGTGATTTAGGAATCCACATTGTGATTATTAACATTAAATACTCTCCAGGAAGATATAACATTGAAGCTGATTGTCTAAGCAGAAATCCAGTCTTAGAACCAAATGAAAACCTGGATGAACAATTAAAAGTGGTTAACATGATTAAACTAGAAGATATCCTAAAAGATCAAGTTAACAATAGAAATATACAGTCCATAAAAGAAAAATTGTTGAAAAAAAATAATGTTTATTATAAGAAAGTTAAGAAAAGGGAAAAAATTATTCTATCAGAGAAATTTAGTATAGGATTAATCAAAAGTGTACATACAAACCTAGGTCATTTAGGACTTAATCAAATGCAAAGAATGATTAGCTCATTGTATACAGCAAAATATGACAAAAAACATAAAAAAGTATCTGCGAAAGTTGTATAGTATGTATAAAGAATAAGTCCAGAGGACAAAATAAATATGGATTGATGTCCCAATTGGGCCCCGCTACAAAACCTTTTGAGATATGTTCCATTGATACCATTGGAGGCTTTGGGGGTTCAAGGTCGACAAAGAGATACTTGCACCTGCTATCAGATCATTTCACTAGGTACGCATACATTTCAACATCAAGTACTCAAAATGCAAATGATTTCATCAAACTAGTGAAAAACTGTGCAGAAACAGACGATATCGGCATGATTCTCTCAGACCAATATCCAGGTATAAATTCCAAGGAATTCAAAAGATTTTTGGATGAAAAGAATATTCCAATAATTTTTACTGCAGTGAATTCGCCCTTCTCAAATGGTTTAAACGAAAGACTAAATCAAACGTTGGTCAATAAAATAAGATGTAAGATAAACGAAAAAGACACTAAAATTGCATGGGCAACTATAGTACAAATGTGTAAAAAAATAGCAAAAAAAAAATAGCAAAAAAAAAAAAATAAAAAAAATATAAAAAAAAATAAAAAAAAAAATAATAAAAATAGCACACTGTCACTGGTTATGCTCCAAAGTACAGACACTCCACATAAAAAGACATATAGAATTCAAAGTTGGTGATGCTGTTTTTGTGGACAATGGAAACAAATTGAATAGGAAAAAGCTTGATGAACTGAGAATCGGACCCTAAAAAAT